ATCTTCAAAGGCTAGGCAACATGGATGGGGCAGAAACAACGAGAACTGACTCTCAAATGACCAGACTCCCATCACTTATCTCACTGATGAGGGTGGGAACTCAGCAGCTCTGAGGTCAGATCGTTCTATGTGGCATTGGTGATGAGTGAGTGAACGCCAACTGTGCCCAGCCCCATGCTAGTGCATTACGCTCATCCTTGGATCATACGCACAACCACAGCCACCCTCAAAGACACACATTATCTTCACTTGAGAGTGAGAAGATTGTAGTCCCAAGATTTTAATGGCCAGAGGCATCTGAGTATCCAGTGCATGCTCTTACTGGGAGCTGTCATGATGAGCCCTGTGCCAAATCCAGGAGAGATGGTGGAGGGAGATTGTCCTGAGGCTGATGAAGGGCAGAAGTTTTCATGAACATTTCACAACAGAGATCCACCATGGCCAGGACTCCTGGCAATGGATCCAAGGCAACTCTGAGCAGCCTCAGCTGCTGGGCTGGATGCCAGAGCTTCACGATTCACACGGCTCTGTAACTTCTCAACTATCATGCATCTGGGAATAATTGCATCAGTCATGGGGTTTATATGGCTGTTTTTTTGGTCACAAGTGACAGAAACCCAACTATGTAAGGCAAGAGAGGAATTTCCTTGAAATGTTCATGAACCTCAGAAAGACCGCTGTGCCAGAGGGACATCTGAACTCAGGTTCGAAAGCCACCAGGACTCCTGTCGTCCCTCTGCAAGCTCCCTTTCTTTCCTCACGCCAGCTGGTCTCCGCCCTGAGCCTACAGCTTAAGCCACTTTTTTCCAGCTCTAGTTTGCAAACATCCCAAGGAGTGGCTCCTTTTGACCAGGCGCCACTTGGGTGACCAGCCTACTCTGGGAACATCCAGTTTTAGTCAGGAAGCTGGGTACCCAGCTAAGTAACTTCTAGGAGGGAGGAAATGAGCTCTCCAGAGGAGGGGGTGTCAGTTCCAGAAGGACAGGTGCTGGGCTGATGGAGTCTCAAGAGCCACTGCAAACTCCACTGCTAAATCCTCAGATCTTTCTACGCCTGGACTTCTGCCTCTTCCAAACATAGACCATCCTTCACTCTGGGCCTTTTCGATGAAGCCATTGAACTCTGTGGTTCAGGTCAGAACCAGAAAATTAGTGACTCAGCTAGCCTCTTAGACAAAGCTATGTGTGCTGAGCCACTCACAGTCCACTTTGATCAGCAGTCAAGGGACAGGTGTGCACAGGCCCATCACCAATGCTGTGAGCCAGACAGGGATTATTTACCAAAACTTATGTGAAAATGTGATTTCCAATGTTGTAGTGTTGAGGGGTGGGAGGCCTGCAGGAGACAGCCAGTCATGAGGGCTCCATCCACACAAATGGATTATTGTCTTGCTCAAGGGACCAGTTAGATCTCGAGTAGGAATTAGGTCTCTTAGGAGTGACTCAGGTCTTCTGGGACTGCATTAGTTACCTTGAGAGCAGGTTGTTAGAAAGCAGGGTCACCCCCGGTGTTTTGACTCGTCTATATATGCTCACTTGCCACTCACACACACTCCTGCCATATGATATCACCCACCATGTGACAACAAACATGAGGCCTTCACCAGACGTGACTGCCTCCAAAATCATGAACCAAAATAATCCTCTTTTCCTTTAAAGTACCCAGCTCCAGGCATTTAGTTATAGCAACCAGAATCCACTGACAGCCACTTACCATAACAGTGCCCTCTAGGGGTGGATGTGGTGGTGGTGGGAGGCACTGAGACTGTGTGCATTTCCTAATCCTTAAAACACCAGGGAAACAGGTGGTTTTACAGAGGAGGAAACTGGGGTTCAGAAAGAGAAGTTAACTTCCCTAATACCCAGTAGAAAATTGCAGAGCTGGAGTTTGAACTTAACAAAGGTCAGGCTATGATATCCCTGAGAACAAACTGGTTCCAATAGTCACACTACTTCTATGACAGAATTCAAGGCATAGGGTTTCCCCATAGTGGAACAAATATTCCTACTAGCATACAGGGCAACATCCACGGGAACAAAAACTTTCAAGCTAGGGCTGGGTGTGGTGGTACACACCTGTAATTCCAGCTACTTGGGAGGCAGAAGTAGGAGGATCATAGTCCAGGTGAAAGCTCAAGACCCTATTTGAAAGACACTAAAAAACCGTCAAACTAAAGGCAAAGAGAACATGGCTCAAGTGGTAGAAGGCTTGTCTCGAAAGCATGAGGCCCTGAGTTCAACCTCCAGTACCACCAAAGAAAGGAAAGAAGGAGGAGGAGAGAAGGGGGAAAAAAGGAAGAGGAAGGGAGAGAGGAAAAAGAAAGAAGAAAGCTTCTGAGGAGGAAATGGGTTTTAAAAAAAAAAAACCAAACTTGAACTTTTAGTCCCACAAAATAACAAACAGTATTCTTTCATTTTGTTTATTCACTCAGCAAAAAGTCCTGAGTATAGCACACCAGGCCTAAAAAGATACTCCACCAACAAATGGACAAGCCTGCAGTTCTCACATTCGGCCAGCAGAGGGCGTGAGGTGACTGGGGGTCTGGACAGCAGCTGGACTGGGAGGGAGACACCACCTGGGCAGCAGTGGAACACAGAGATATTAAAGTCTCAGGTGTCCTTTCAGGGTTTGTAGTTACAATCACGGCCCCCTGGGGTGATCTAAGAACCTGCCTGCAGAACAGTCCTAGGAAGATGAGAGTCTGTGTAAAACCAACATGGACCACAAATAGTCAAGAATACAAGAAGTGGCAAGTGGGACCTCAGCACAGCCATTTTGCATCTCCAGGTACTCTGCAGCACACACTAGGTTGTGGGGCCCATCTCCAAGCGCCCAACATTCTTCTGTCCTGTACCGGGGAGGGAAGACCTTCACGTTTTCACCATCTGCATGGAGCAGAGAGGGCTGGCCGGCAACACAGACTTGACATGGAGTGTAGGAGTGTGCAAGGCCATGGACAGATCTGCCTGAACAGCCTGAGCCAGGAGATCACTGAAGCAGTAGTCCAGGCTGGCACTGCCAGGTTAGCACTGGGTCATCTGTCACATGCCCAACTCACTACTGCCTGAGGAGCTGGACAAATGTGAAGGCCAAACTGGCTCAGCACCACCCACTCTGCATCAAACTTGTACTAGAGGAGTCATCAACAAAGCTAATTAAAAACAAAGCCTGTTGCCCCCAAGTGACCCCTTTTAAGTATGCAATGAGGAGTTCAGGGAATTTCTAACATCCTTCCAGGTGCATATCTTCTGGGCTCCTGGGTTTTCATGGGCAAAATGATGTCGGTGTTTCTACTTGTTCAGTGTAAGCTGTTACTTTTCATTTCAAGGAAAATACACCCACACGCACACACGCACACATGAATGCTCCAAATCAGAATTCAGGGAGACACCACAAAGAATGAAGTCTGTTGTAGATCCATTTAAAACCTCTTAGCTAGGATATGGAGCATGGGATGTAGTGACAAATGACTTTGTCACACAGCCATGCGAAAGGGGGTGGGCACCACGTAACTTCCACTTTTGAATGGACACCGTAAGGATCCAGAACTGCCTGTGTGCCCTCTACTCTAGTTTATAATGTGCTTCTCCCGGCATATCTTCAAACTTGTACAGTGGGGTTGAACAGATACGGGGAAATACTGCAGATACTAAGTATCTATTAAGTAACTAACCATAGGAGGAAAAAATTAAGAAAAGCAGGAAGTTAAAATGAATCCCATGGAGGAAAACCAGACTCAGAGGTATTATATGGACTCAGGCTTTTATGTAAGATAAATACTGAAAAACACATGCACACATGTGTGTGCATGTGCGTGTGTGTGTACAAGGAGGGCTAGAAGCTAGGGCACCCAATATCAGGGAGCACACCTAGTTTTCTTTATGATCATAAATAAAATTATTATTCATAAGTAAAGTAATAAAAAGAACCAGGGGTCAGTAGTTAGTTCCGGGGCTGGAGTAAGGAACATAGAAGATGAGAAGATGAGCCAGAGGGTGGTGTCAGAAAGTAACAGGTTAGAAAAAGAAAGAAGGGGAGAGGAAAGGAAAGGACAAAGGCACCATCCTGGAAGAGCTGTCACGACAATACCTGTGCAGGCACAGTCCCCTTGGACGTGGTGTACTGTGCTGGAGGCACAGTCACCCGGGATGTGGTGATGTTGGAGTCCTAACTCCTGCAAATGTCCCAGAACATATCTGGAAATAGGTTCTTTACAAACGTGATCAGGTTAAGATGAGGTCACCCGGTTACAGAGGATACCAAATCCAATGACTGGTGGCCTTATAAAGAGAGAGGACAGAGACACACTCACACCCAGAGAAGAGGACCATGTAATCAGATCTTCAGGGGAAGCAGCTTCAAACCTAGAACTGTAGGTCACCACCAGAAGTAGGTGCTTCAGGAGGACCCAATCCTGGACACAACTTGATTTCAGACTCTGGCCTCCTACACTGTAAAAGAATAAACTTCACTTGTCTCAGGCCACCCAGTTTTTGGTAATTGGCTAAAGGGAGCAGTAGGAAACTAATCCAGGTGGTAAAATTGCTGGGTGAAAGTTTAAGCACCAATAGACTGTTGCCCAACCTGCAAGTAAGTCTTCTCATTTCAAAGGTAAAAACAGTGACTTTTCCAAGCAAACCCGGTGGACACCACATTGACTAAATGGTGGAAATGGACACCATCAGGTGACACCATGCACAGGAAGCTCACATCCCCACATGGAATCCTTTCCCTAATGCACAACCTCAATTGAATCATGAGAAACAGCGGAAAAACTGAAGTGACAGGGTGTTCCACAAAAGAATTGGACAGCATCATACACTACAAAGCGTCAAGACCAGGAAACACAATCACAGATCACAGGACGCTAAGGAGACCCAACCACAACTCCATGCAAGGGAGATCCTGGAACAACTGGTGAGATGTGAGTAAGGGGTGGTTTAATTAACAGCATTGGACCGATGTCAAGTTCTTAGTTTTGATCCCTGTTGTGCAGTGATGTAAAATGTTAACGTAAGGAGGAAGAGAGTAAAGGATATACATGAACTCATTGCTGCTTTGCAACTTTTTTCTACGTCTAAAGCTATCTCAAAAAAGATGTAACTAATGGGGGGTTAGAGGTACCACAGTAAGGAGAGTCCAGTAAGGAATATCAAATGATCATGTGACAATTCGAGACACACATAAGTCCAAATTCAATAAACTATAGTACCACATTGTCTCTTCAGTGTTCAAGACACCAATCATTGGATCATTCAAAACAACACACTGTGTTCAACATTTTTATTTTTAACTCTGCTTTGGTAGTACAAAAGTCGTAAAAGTACAAACCAGACAGTTAAAAATACATTTGACACTCAAAATGGTGAAAATTTTCCTTTTCAAATTTTTCAAATCAGGGTGGCAGCCAACTCACTTATTAAATGAAGAGCTATCCGTCATTAGTGTTTCATACAGTGAGTTCATTGTGAACCCCCCACCCTTCTAAAGAAGGAGGAAAAATACAAGACCTGTAAACATCAGTTGCTTTGGGAACACTTAAGAATTCTCATCAGATACTATCAACCAGTAAAAAGCTTATGTGTTGAAAATATTGAACGCTTAACCTTTGGTGCATGTGGAAGCCAGCCGGACACACACTGCTCAAGTATTAGAAAATATGTAAAATATTTTGTATAAATACAATTTCAAATATTTTTGAGTATTCTCTTGCCTATTGTATTGCTATAAAAAAGTGCTCTGACTTGAATAAAATTAAAAAATAATTAAAGCTGAAGAATATCTTACAATTTACCCCTCACTGTTTAGAGGGCATAATATTTCTTAAAGCAAAAGTGTATGTTTTTGTTTGTTTTTAAGTATTGGCCTAGACATCACATGTATTATTTACACTAACACACACCCCTAAAATTCCTATACAGGTACTTTCTGGAGCACAGTGAAATTTCTATCATACTGACTTCTCCTGTGCATATAAATGTATACATGTCGTTTATTAGTTGTAAGGATTCACATGCGATTGAATAGTTCATTCATGTAAAAGGTTAGAAATTTTTAGTTTGACGCCAGAAACAAAATCAAGTAAGTGTATTTATACAGTGAATACCATGAAGTATATTGTCATGGAAATCATTTTTGGGGAGCCAAATGAGAAATGTGCTTTTTCTCTTAAAAATAAAACAAGTACCCGAAGCACCACACCTGCACATGGAAACAGGTCCTGGAGCTTCCCCTCCCCCCAGCCTCAGATCAACCTAAAATACTATCTTTGCTTCTGTGCTTTTTCATGTGTCTTATAAAATGTAAAGCTGAGAGAGAGAGAGAGAGAGAGAGAGAGAGAAGAAGGAGGAGGAAGGGGAGGAGGAGAAGGAGTCTTTTAAACACTGAGCATGAGTTACAAGATGGGTCATACATAGAACACAGGAGAACATACAGCGGTCTCTGCGGGCTCATCTTGAAAGTGGGTTGTTTTGGCCACTGGTTGTCAAAACAAGAATTTTTTCCCTTAGTGACTTTTAGGTTAGGGGGAAAAAGAAGAATCTCTCAATATCATGTAAGTGACCCAGGAGTGGCGCAGCAGTAGCAGGAGTTGATGCCAAATTCTTGATGACATGGCCTGGTCCTATCCGACTCCATGATGTGTTTGTCATCACTAGACTAGATTATTCCTAAGACCTTGTGCCAAACTGTGTGTATCAAGATCTTCTTACAATCAGGACCAAAAGGGGATGTCAGGTTTTAGAGTAATAAACAGACACATCACACACACACACACACACACACACACACACACACACACCACACACGCACAATCCCAGCACAAGCTCTGGCTGTACGTGAATGGCTCCATTGTAACCACACAGTGACCCTAATGAAGAGATGCAGCACACAACCCAAGGCCAAGGGTGGGCGGCTAGGAACAGTAGAGGCCAGGGGTGGCCAACAGATCAATGAGCTCTTTTCCTCCCTGGAAATAATCGATTTTTTATCAGACTTTTTAAACCAAAACCTGTTTTGAAGCAAACTGAATTCTGTATCCAGCAGCACAGCAAAAATATTCCCTTTAGTTTTATCTGCATGCCTGCTGACTTCATAGAAACTGTACAAAGTACATAAAAACATTCCCTGGGCAACTTCATCTCTTGTAAGTTTTCAGTTTCTTAAGAACTCTTCAAATAAAGCCATTGCTGCAAGAGAAAACAAAACACAAAAAAGCTTTAACAAAAGAGAAACACATCTTGCTATGCTTGAATACGTAACAACTTAACAGAGCTATAATCAATCCTTGCCCAGTCCCACCCACCCCACCCACCTCATTCCAACTCCAGTATATGAGTCTTCTAGAATTCAGGCTCTGGAAATTTAATACCACAGTTCCACAGGGCCCTCATTATCAAGGTTTGATAACAGAGTCTGGGAAGCACAGGAGACCAGGGAGATCAGTCTGTCGCTACACATGTGCTGTGGTGGGTATTCCTTATCACTACAGTGACGATCCTCAGTCACCAGTACCAGGTAAGGCATCTTTCCAAAGCCACACCAAATGGAATTAACCCCAGCTCTTGACTGAGCTTCCAGAGCAGCTAGGCTGGGATTTCATCGGATGATTAGGACACATTAAAAAAATGTTCAATTGGTCTTTATAGGGATTTTTTGTTGTTGGTTGGTTTGGTTTGGTTGGTTGCTTTCTTTTGCAGTGCTGGGATGAAACTCAGAGCCTCACATATGCTCAGCAAGTTCTCTATCGTTGAGCCTCAACCTCAACCCTTAGGTCTTCATTATACTTCGAGTATTTTTTTATTGTATTTTTAAGTCTTTCTTACAACTGGCACTTAATGTCTACACTGCATTACAAAAGAAGCCCTTGCTGGCATCAGTGGCTCACGCCTATCATCCTAGCTACTCCGGAGGCAGAGATCAGGAGGATCGCGGTTTGAAGCCAGCCCAGGCAAAAGTTCTCAAGATCCCATCTCGAAAAAACCCATCACAAAAATTGCTGGTGGAGTGGGTCAAGGCCCTGAGTTCAAACCCCAGCACCACAAAAAAGAAAAAAAAGCAGCCCTCATACTTGTGAAATTGTTTTCTACTTTCCAAAGGTTTTTTACAGTTATCTGCACCTCGTTAAAAGCTTTGCACCCTTTCTTGTTCCTGAAGATGAGAAAACCAAGTAATTCCAGCAATGCCAGTGTGCACTGAAACACACGTACCCTGCAGGTGAACCTACACAAGGGTGAGGAGCAAAACACACTCTGATCCGCCAAACCTGCGTTTGTCTATAAATGCTAAACAAAATGAGATATGAAGCCAGCTTGCTGAAACAACAAAAGAACATATTACTTATGTTATTCATCCTTCAAGACGTGCACTCTACCATCATCCATGTATCCTTTCCTATCATTCAAGATACTCATACACGATGTACAGTGGTTACGAAAGAGGAGAAACATGACACAGAGAGATTAAAATTGATTTCCCAAATAAGATGAGTTGGGCAAAGGACCATTATCCCCTTAGCTAAAAAGGAAATAAAACATTGTCCCCTAAAATGGCACAAATCAAGTTTTTAGTTATAATAAAATAAGTCATTGCCACAACCCAGCACTATAGAACCAAGGATTCGTACTGTGTACCTGGCAAGAAAGCTGCTGAAAACTTGGGGATGGGAGGGAATGGATAATGGAAAGCAATGGAAGGGGTTGAACTGAGCAAAGTAAAGTATACTCACAGTGGGGATACATCGAGAAACCCCTGAATATACAAAAAAAATTTTTTTAAATACTTGTGACTTAAATTTTCAGGTGTTTCTCCCCAGTTTAGAAAGCTATTTACCAAAACAAAACCAACAGTCACTGTATACTATAATCAAATGTTTGCATATGCTATGAGGATTAAAAAAAAGAGTCATACCAAGTCTGAGGCTACTTTCAGGAAGAAGTCAATACATATGGAACATTCCAGCACAGAAAAAGCTACAATGGCCAGAGATGGAGAAATATAAACATGGTCCTAACAGTAAAAACTATGGGAGAAATTTTCAGGAAAACTTTAGACTGTTAGCTAGATAAATAGGTATTCTACTGTTTTTAGGCCTCTTCTCTACATGCTCTGTTACATCTAGACATTTCTGTATCAAGGAAAATAACTAAGTCAAGGACGAGGATGTTAGACCTGGAATGGAATGTTTCATGACTGTAGAAGTTTTCATTTCAACCAAGAAGAGTTTCCCATTTACAGTGTTTTGCAAGAGATCTGACTGCCCTTAAGGAGTGAGCATGCAGGACAGTGGGCTGGGCTAACAAAGACAGATCTGGATTCAAATCCAGACCCCTATCACCAGAATTTGAGCCTTGGGCCATCCATCCCTGTAGCATTCCCTAGCAGGGTTGCCCGCAGGTTCATATAAGATGACAGATGCACCAAGCTGAGGAAGAGGCCTGGGGCTAAGCAGTCGATATGTGGCCATAGATTAGCTATGGGATCATCACCATCACCGAGCTTTCTGCTCTCAACAACAGTAGCTCTCTTCAACAGCTGCCTTTTGAGGCTGAATAAAACTGCCCTGGGTATTCTAACAGAGGTGAGGTGGAATCTTAGTGTGGTTTTAATTTGCGTTTCCTTTATTGCTAGAGATGGTGAGCATTTTTTCATGTGTTTTCTGGCCATTTGAATTTCTTCTTTTGAGTGATCTACCGTATGATCCAGCAATACCACGCTTGGGGATATACCCAAAAGAATGTGAAAACAGGTTACTCCAGAGGCACCTGCACACCCATGTTTATTGCGGCACTATTCACAATAGCCAAGTTATGGAAACAGCCAAGATGCCCCACCACCGACAAATGGATTAAGAAAATGTGGTATTTATACACAATGGAATTTTATGCAGCCATGAAGAAGAACAAAATGTTATCATTCGCTGGTAAATGGATGGAATTGGAGAACATCATTCTGAGTGAGGTTAGCCTGGCCCAAAAGACCAAAAATCGTATATTCTCCCTCATATGTAGACATTAGATCAAGGGCAAACACAACAATGAGATTGGTCTTTGAGCACATGATAAAAGCGAGAGCACACAAGGGTTGAGTGAGGATAGGTAAGACACCTAAAAAATTAGCTAGCATTTGTTGCCCTCAACGCAGAGAAACTAAAGCAGATATCTTAAAAGCAACTGAGGCCAACAGGAGAAGGGGACCAGGAACTAGAGAAAAGGTTAGATCAAAAAGAATTAACCTAGAAGTTAACACCCACGCACAGGAAATCAATGTGAGTCAATGCCCTGTATTGCTATCCTTATCTCAACCAGCAAAAACCCTTGTTCCTTCCTATTATTGCTTATACTCTCTCTACAACAAAATTAGAGATAAGGGCAAAATAGTTTCTGCCGGGTAGTGAGGGGAAGGCGGGGGAAAAGGAGGGAGGGGGGAAGGGAGGGGATAGGGTAAGGGGGAGAAATGACCTAAACATTGTACGCACATAGGAATAAAATAAAAATTTAAAAAAAAAACTGCCCTGGGCACAGTAGCTTTGAGAGAAAACAATGGGAAATACAAACTCAGCTTCAAGTCCTCACTACTAGTATCAGAAACCAAGCAGAAAAAGGAAAGAGAATCTTTTTTAAACTCTTTTGGTTCTGATCTCTATAAATACATACTTACTAAAAGGCAGCACAGCTCTTCACAGCATGCAGCTACGAATTTCCAGGGAAACACCTGTCTTATCAGAATGACAACCGAGAAAGAAAGAAGACACCACACACTCTAGCTTGTAAATTTCCACCTGAGGCCTTATTTCTGTGGGTGAAATGAGGTCCCTGAAAAGTGCAGACTGTGATGGTGATTTTCACATTGCTCGACTCTCATTTCAGTCTACACTCATGGAAACATCCTTACTGGTAAACAAATCCACACTTTCAAACAGTACTTCTTTGCCACTGTGCACCAATAAAAATGTTAAAGGGTGCCTTCCAGATTGTCCTCCAGCAATGAGAACCATGTACATACAGAATGGCATAAATACCACGGGAGGCTAACAAGAGTTGTCGTCACCAGGGAGCCCCACTGTATTTAAGAAGTCCGATCTCACCAGGGCAGGCACTAGTGGCTCTCACCTGTAACCCCAGCTACTTGGGAGCTCCCGTGCTCAGGAGGATCATGGTTCTAGACCAACCAGGGCAAATAGTTCATGAGATCCCATCTCCAAAACAGCCAGAGCAAAATGGACTGGAGGTGAGGCTCAAGTGGCAGAGCTTGAATTCAAATGCCAGTCCCACTGAAAGAAAAAAAAAACCCAACCTCTCCCTATCTCTTTCTCTCTGGGCGATTTCAGTTTTACACAAATAAGTGCTAAAGCTGGAAGAAATTAAGAAAAACCTTCTTAAACTGGAAACACAATACAGAAATCCCATGTATAACCATTTCTCTCATAAAAGGAAACACATGGACAAAAAAAATGAACTTACAAGATGTATGTGGAGCCAAGAGGCTGTCTTTTACAAGTTTATTGCTTACTAGATTTCTGCATTGAGAAGATGAAGCCATAACTATTATGATTTTAATTTTCCACAGACAGAGTAGTACACCTCTGCTAAGGATTTATATGAGCCTTGTCAGAAAAGGATCCTCTAGAAAATATGCCCTGGTCCCTTTAAAAACTAGAAACTGGGGGCATGGCTCCAGTGGTGGAGTACTTGTCTATCAAGCCTGAGGCGTTGGGTCCAACTTACTTCCTAAGTAGCACAGGCAGAAGTGTATATTCTTGCAAATTAAATTGACATTTTTAAAATAATGCTCATGAGAAGTTATATACTCTTACAGTGCTGAATCTTCTGATAGTAGTTTTGGATCTTACTGAGAAGTCTGAAAGTTGCCATTTATATCCTCTTAGCAATACAAATGTGCTTATATATTTAGCAAGGCTGAGTTTCCCAAATGATAATAACTGATTTATCAGCCCTGGGGAAGGTGAGACTCAGAGCACTTTCTGTCAGGTAAAATGGAACCAACATCAAAAATGATCATGTGACCAGGCATGATGCTACACGCCTCTAATCCCAGCTACTTCGGGATGCAGCAGTGGTAGGAGGATTGCAGTCTCAGGCCAGCCTCTGGCAAAGTTGGCATGAGATCCTATCTGAATAGAAAACTAAAAATAAAAGCAAAAAGACTGGGGCGTGCTCAAGTGGTAGAG